GGGCAGGCGCGGCGAGCCTAACGGGCAGACGCGACGGGCCTAACGGGCAGGCACGGCGGGCCTAACGGGCGGGCAGGCAGCGGGCCTAACGGGCAGGCGAGGCAGCGGGCCTGATGGGCGGGTGCGGCAGCGGCAAACGGGCATGCGCGGCGGTGCGAAGGCAGGGCCCGCGGCGGGCGTGACGAGCGGGCGTAACGGGCGCGCGCGGCGGCGCGGCAGCGGGCCTAACGGGCAGGCGCGGCGGGCCTAACGGGCAGGCGCGGCGGGCAGGAAGCGGGCCTAAGAAACATGCGCGGCAGCGGGCGCGGCGGGCCTAACGCGCAGGCGCAGCGGGCGCTAAGGGCAGACGTGGCGGCGCGAAGAGCAGGCGCGCGGCGGGCGCTAAGGGCAGGCCTGCTGGCGGGCGCTTAGGGCAGGTGCGCGGCGGACGGGCGTATGAAAGGGGCGTTACTGCAGCGCTACAAGACAGGACGGGACGGGTGGGGCGCGTGAGGCTCGGGAGGCTCGGGCAAGAGGAACGGGATCCTACAGGATCCTAGCCTATGCGATACCATGTCAGAAACTGAATTGTGTGTTCATTGATGTGGGTTGGGGTACATATAGCAAAACCTAATATTTGTACCCCCTTAAGACAAGCCTCACTGCAAGCTACATCATTTAACAATAACGTCCCTAAGAATATCCCTTTTGGATTACTAAAATTCGAAGGTTATTTCTACTTCCCAAGAAAAAAATCTAAAACCCGTTCGGATGGGATTTCCTTTGAGAGGCATCAATCCTAAACACCTTGTTGCTAAATTTGATTCCTCCCAAAGTGTCAGAATGTTATCTTATGCTCTAGCCTGTAGTGGGGTGCTCTATAGCGAGTACAACCCTTCTAGGGTTTGCTATTTGTATCCTCATTCTTGCTAGTGCAACTCTCTTCTTTCTTCTAAACTTTAACATGCTATCAGAGCAGGTCGATCCCCTTGGATCGATCCTGTGGGTGGGCTTACCACCTCCTAGCTTCCGCTGCAACTCCTACCACTACACTCGGTGCCGCACGCCCAGTGGCGTGTGGCAGTTTTCTTCCCGCCGTGCGCCCCGAGGCGCGCGGCGGTTTTCTGCCCGCCGTGCGCCCCGAGGCGCGCGGCGGTTCTCTGCCCGCTGTGCGCCCCGAGGCGCGCGGCGGGCTTCGGCCCCGTCAACCGTCGCGTCGCCCTCGGGAGGCGCCGCGACGGGCGACGGGGACCCGTTCGTCGCCCCCCGTCGCCCGTCGTGGCCTGCGCGCGGCCCGTACAGGCAGCGCGCGACCCGTACGGGCTGCGCCAGGCCCGCGCGCGACCCGTACGGGCTGCGCCAGGCCCGCGCGCCACCCGTACGGGCTGCGCCAGGCCCGCGCGCGGCCCGTACGGGCGGCGCCAGGCCCGCGCGCGGCTCAGGCCGCCTACGCGCGGTTCGGGCGACCCTACCAGGCCCGTGGTGGGCCCGCTCCTTGCTGCCCCTGCCCTCCCTACTGTCCCCCAGCGCTTCTACTCGTGCCCCACCCCTCCTACTCCCCATTCTCCTGTATTAGGGTTTGGGGGTGCGGGGTATGGGGGTGCACCCACTGTGTACTGTTCCCTGCTCCTCCTCCTCCTCCGTCTCCCTGTGCTGCAGCTGCCGCTGAGGGGGGGTGGACGTGTTGGAGCCGGTGGAGTGGTACTAAGGGGGGGTGAAGGGGGAGTGGAGCTAGCGGTGTAGCAGCGGGTATGTGCCAGGGGGGAGTGGGATAGTTTGGGGAAGCTGAATGGAGGTTGCCGTCGTGTCGCCAGCAGCACCTGTATTCCGGGGACTTCGTCCGGTAGCCCAGTCGTAGCCAGCTGTGCCAGCCGCCCGTGGGTCCGTTGCTCGTCTGCCGCTACTTTAGCCGCGGGGCCTGTTACTCCTGTATTCCGGGGACTTCGTCCGGTAGCCGCTGTGCCAGTCTGCCTCCTGTTGCCTGTGTGTCTGCAGCTTCAGCCGTCGCCTCCTATCTCCTCTCCTCTCACTCTCTCTCCTCCTCCTCACTTGCCCGTTGTGACTACCACTAGCTTTGCTCATAATTGTGAACTTAAACTATTGCTTCTTGAACTTGTGCTCAGAATGTGTGGTGACATTGTGATCCACCCTGAGCTTGTACTCCTTTGCTTACTCTGCTGATTACACCCCACTTTGGCTATGGGGGTGTGTCAGAATGTTATCTTATGCTCTAGCCTGTAGTGGGGTGCTCTATAGCGAGTACAACCCTTCTAGGGTTTGCTATTTGTATCCTCATTCTTGCTAGTGCAACTCTCTTCTTTCTTCTAAACTTTAACACAAAGGGGGTGCCATCCTTTAGGGGTTTATTTTTCTTTTCTTTAGTCCCATAAATGTCAGGCTAGAATCATGCGCGAGGTAAGAAGTAATCAGGATTGGGATTCCCCCAAATCTTTACAGTTTCTATTGTGGGTTTCAATTGATTATGCTCATTTCATCAAGTGACCGAACGTGACAGCTTTTCGGGGCGAGTTGTGACCATCCGTGATTGCACTGTGATCATCCACGATAGAAATACACTGCACTGTGACAGATCGTGATAACCCTGTGTCCAAACGTGATAAAACGGGCAAAATTGTGAGTCTCCGTATAATTTCCCATATGTAAAATAATGGTGAATCTTACATGCCAACACGGCCTTGTGTGTGCATGGTTTGGCAAAAGCTAGCACGCAGTGCAACTAATACTGGTGGCTGGTAGGCAACAACATGGTCGACGTCCGGTGTACATTGTTAAGCACAATGAAAGCAGATGGTGTATAAGAAAGTCGAAACTCTCTTGTGTTAGGTTGAAAACGTAATGTTGTTACAATCCCAAGTGGGACTTAGCGAAGGATCGCTCAGGGTTGATCGCAGAGTAGTGTTGCAGCGGAAGTATTGACCTCAGGTCAGAGTGAATGTAAATGACTAAGATTGATAATAGCATGCATACATCGAGTCTATATAGGAAATACAAACGAATGCGAAACGACCTAGACTAGCCATGTACTCTAAGGGGCACATTCCCTTATTACAGCGAAGTTCAAACCGTGCGGCGCGGGAACCCGTTTTAAACATGTTCCCGCTCTTTTCATTTCAAATGTTTCTGCCTGCATCGGTCTTGGTCAAACGGTTACCAGCGTCGCTTCGACTCTTTTGACTCCTCGACTTCGTACTCGGTAGAGTCGGCTCCTGTAGCCTACAGAAATATCTTCTCATAGAATTTCATATCGTAACAAATATCACTGTGATAAACACGAGCGCCTTACATTGGCGGGTCTAATACACATGGAATTATGGTAATTGGAACGTACCCCTTCAGTTTGGGCTTCTAACTAAAAAATGTTTTTTTCTAGACCCTTCACTTAGGACAGGACCCGGATAAAAAAATTGGACCGTTTTGGATTGAATGTACGAATTGTTTTTTGGGTTGCGTAGCAACCCTATATATTTGGTTTCACATTTTGGGGATATCATTTCAAGGGTGATTTTTAAGCACTCTTTAAAGCACCTGTTTGAACAACGTTTTGATACCGTGTTCAATAGAATGCCTCAAACAGTGGATACACCATCCTTGAATAAGATATCCTAAATGTGGAACCAAATACGCATGTTAAAGCCATGAATTTGTTCTGACCGTCCCAGGTCGTCGATTAGTACGACGGATGGTACGATCGAACATGGCATCAACTATTAAAAAGCTAGTGTGAGATAGGCTTAGGAGCCATAGCTTGAGTAGCTTAGGAACTTAGGTTTTAGGGTTGAAGGAGAGTAGCGAGAAGTTTGCTAAGGAAAGGAGGGGCTTCACTGTAGAATTGCAAGCAGGGCCTATTTTTCAAGGGTATTTTACCCTGATTACACTTGCCAGCGGCCAGTTTTTGGAGTTTAGGCTGATTTTGTAAGCCTATTTTTGTTGCTACTCTTACTGACAAAGTGTACAAGGTGGGATTAGGCTGATATTTCAAGTGTGTTGCGGGTTTTAGCCTTTCCAAACAGGGTGCGCCAAAAAACGCACTGAAACTGAAAACCCTTGACCATGCAATAGCGCGAATGTCACAGGCAGGGGGGCGTTGACTTGACATGGCTCGCTCGCCACGACAGTCGCCCTGCCCTGGCAGAGTGACACGAATCACGTCACGATGCCACGGAAACGATGGCACCACATACACAACAGAGCGCGTTTTGCTGGCAGCAGCACGGAATTTGCATCAGATTGTCAAGCACAACGCACACAGCAGATCTCGATTTGCAGCCAGAGCGCAAGTTTCAGCAGAATCTCCAGCACAATACAAATCTGAGCGCGATTTGCTACAGAATCTAAATTTGTGTCAGAAACGCCTGCACGATACACACAATGTAGCCCACACCAATCGCGCACGACAGACCGTGCAAGACCAATCATGCAAATTGGTCCGTCCCTCCCACACAATCCAACTCACCATCTTGCCTACGATGTTTTCCTACATGTGACTAGGTCGATGAGAGTCTGAATAACCTTCCCAAAACCAGTTCACCATGGACGACGAGAAGAACGTTGTAGATAGGGATCCAACTCGCAACGGACTTAGTGTCCTAGGCGTTTTCCCGCTTAGGCCGCCAACGATCGCCCCACCATGCCCGGCCCGGAGCAGCCATATCACGCCACCCCAGTCCCATTCGTTAGCCGGGGACTTTGAGCCAACATCGTCACCCTCAGACGTGTTCCCGGAGCCATCGCACCATTCTACTTAGGAGGGCGGGTCGTCCAAGAACCCTTATCCTACCATTCCCGTATCCACTACGCCCAAGTCGACTAGTAAGCGCCTACGTGACAGCACCTGGAAACAGCAGACGTTATGGGGCGCTCCTCCACCTGTCCGCGCCGCTACTTCTGCCGTGCGATTGCCTCGCCCAACACCAACGCCGACAGATACCGCTGAAGCTGAGTATGCTTTGATGGAGAAACAGTACGAAAGTGATTGGGGCAAGAGGTTTCCTTGGCTCAAGATGGTACGGATGAAAAACGGTCGGCCTGCTTTGAAGTGCGCGGTGTGTTTGAAGCATGCAGACCCCACAGCCAACACTAACTACGGCATCAAGGGTGAGGGAGGACGAGACCTCCAGCTCGGCAGCATCCGCGCGCATCTGGGAACACGAGCACATAAGAGTGCTCTTAAGGCGGAGGCCGACGCTGAGAAGGAGAAGGCGCAACAGGCTACGCTCACTCGCTGGCAAACTACTGACGCGGCAACGCGACACCTCATTCGGTGTCTTCATGTCGCCATGTTTGTTTCCAAGGCGGATGCACCGATAGCCCTTTTTGTCCCATTATGTATGTTTCTTGCCACAGAGGGCGTCCCTGACATGAGAACTAGTGGCGGCTACGGCTCTTACTATACAGAGTATATGATATGATATCCTACGTTTAGTGTGTCTACTTTGAGACATGTTAATCCAAGCTACTAGTTGTTAATCCAACCTTCTTGTTTATATGATGCATGGCAGTTACGGCTTTAAGGAGTGCCTCCGTTCCATGTTAACCTATCTTCGAGAGGTGCAGCTGCAACACCTCTGCGCGTAGCCTTGGATCAGCCTCAGCATTGACGAGAGTACGGATCGCATCTATGGCAAGCATCTCATCTTAATCGTCACCTTCTTCAAGGACACACGAGTGGCGAACGAATTTGTGACGTTGTTGAGCGTTGACCGGACCGATGCCGCCTCGCTGACTGGAACTCTTCTACAGTTTCTGCAAAGCATTGGCGTGGACCTACATAAGGTGGCTGGCATTGCCACCGACGGTGCATCAGTGATGACTGGGAAGGACAATGGAGTGGTGGCTCGCCTTCGACTGCAAATCGAGCACTTAGTCTCAACCCACTGCGTCGCCCATCGGTTCGTTTTGCACTTGTGTTTGGTCACTGTTTGTTACTTTGGCACCATTCTTTTACACTCTGTTTCGCTTCTCTTACACCCCCCGTTTCCAAGAGTGAGGCGCTGTCGGCCAAAGATGCTGCTCTTGCTGTGCCGGATTTTAACATGGTGGACAAGGTGGTGAGAGGGCTGGCTGATCTGCTTGGACGCAGCCACGTGTGATATCAACGCTTCATGCACCTACAACAATTGTTCTGCAAGACAACCCTCGAGGCTCAGGGAATATACGCCATTCGTTGGTTGTCAAGAGGGGAGGCCGTGGAGCGGCTTTTGGAGATGCTTCCAGCTGCAATAGTGATCCTTAAGCAGTATAACCCCGACCTGTACGAGATCGCGACATCCTTCAAATTCAACTTCCTCCTAAGATTCTTGGCAGACATCCTCTTGGAGCTAAATGCTCTTAACAAGAGGTTTCAGCAGCGCCAGGTAACTATTTAACTTTCTTCCAACCCTCAATCTTTGCCTCTGCTCTCTCCTAACTGCAATTGCTTCACCCCATTCTCAGGTGGATGTCACACTTGTGGCCCATCTTGTGGAGCAGACGCGCATGCGCAACACAAAGCATTACCTCACGATTGAGAGTGGCCAGAGCTTTGGCGAGGGCGACAAGATGCAGCTGCCCGCGTTTTTGGCGGCCTATGAGTCAACCGAGAAGCGTGAGGTGCGCGCGGAGGGAGTTGATGCAGACGACAATCCTTCCACTACCGTCTTCATCCTTCACGAACGTCTGCTGAAGGGCTACAACTCGGGCAGCGACGTCACGGCCTGCTACGAGCTGGCCACGAGCTACGCAAGGGAGGTGAACACCAGTTTGGGGCGGCGCATGAGGGACCTGGACAAACTTGAGGGTACTAAGTTATCTGAGCGATGACCAGCAGTGTGTGGTGGCATTCAAGAAGTGGTTGAAGCAGCTACACCAGCTTTACAAAGGGAAGCTGCCAGGTAGGCGTGTATGCAACTATGTTCAAGTTTTCATGTATTTGTGGTTGTGTAGTTGAACCTTCTCAATGAACTTTTCCATTATCACCCCACCTTAAACCATGTTACAGGATTCAATTACAACAAAGCTGTCAGCAAGCTGTGGATGTTCACGGCAACGATGCATTCACAACATCACAACGAGGACTTCCATCAAGCGCTCTGCAACACCCTACGAGACGACAACTGGCAGAACTCGTACCCGAACATCATGCGCCTATGGCAGGCTGTGGCAGTGCTCCCGTTGAGCACTGTGGAGTGCGAACGAGGCTTCTCGAAGCAGAACTTGATCAAGACCTTTGCTCGTGGGAGCATCAGCGACATTAGACAAGGGCATCTCATGAGATGTTCTCTGCTAGAGTATGAAGTTGACTGATTTGATGCTGTTGCGATTTTCCGGGGTGAGAAGACACGGCGTCCGATCCAAGACTTCACCTGCCACAATATGGGGGACCAGCAGCAGCAGCAGCCAGCCATGTGATTGAGGAGAATGGGAGATGTCATAAGGGATGGGGAGGGAGGTCCTTGGACGGACATTGCTAGGTGCTCACTGCCCAGGTGTTTCCCTTAGTATGGCAGCTAGTATTGTAATTTGTATGGTCCCTATAGGGACATTGCTAGGTGCTTAGGTTAGGTGTTTTCCTTAGTATGGCAGAAACGTGCTTCTAGTTAGTATGGACCCTAGACGGACATTGCTAGGTGCTCTACGGTTTGGCTAAAACTACCGTAATCCCCCGTATATAGGACCCCCCCCAGTTGTAGACCCCCGGGTCTATAATACGGACCCGGGTACTCTATTCGAGTACATCTGAGTTATACCCGCTAAATGGCTCCTAACATTATAAGACCCCCCCACATACTAGAAAGTGCGGATTTTACAAAAAAATGCAATTGAAAAATGCCCTTAGTATGGCAGCTAGTATTGTAATTTGTATGGTCCCTATAGGGACATTGCTAGGTGCTTAGGTTAGGTGTTTTCCTTAGTATGGCAGAAACGTGCTTCTAGTTAGTATGGACCCTAGACGGACATTGCTAGGTGCTCTACGGTTTGGCTAAAACTACCGTAATCCCCCGTATATAGGACCCCCCCCAGTTGTAGACCCCCGGGTCTATAATACGGACCCGGGTACTCTACTCGAGTACATCTGAGTTATACCCGCTAAATGGCTCCTAACATTATAAGACCCCCCCACATACTAGAAAGTGCGGATTTTACAAAAAAATGCAATTGAAAATGGTAACGAATTTTGAATTTCAAATGAGTCAGCACCCATTTTCAATGTGTTTGACTTTCGAAGGCTTCACTTGTTGCGCGTCCAGTCAGGATGAGCTGGCACGCAGGCAAAGTGACGTGCCAAATCTCTGTGCACAGTCAGGGAAACGCCCTCGCACGATTCTGATTCAGGACGCTGTAAAAGTTCGATTTGATTGAACTTACGAGACTGAAATGTACAACATCGTGCATTCTGTGAAGATTGGAACGAGAATGATTGCATTCAGCAGCATGAGGAGTACAAGTACCAAACCCTAAAGTGTTGTACCCTATATAAGCTACCCCACTACAGCCTACACAGACTATAGCATATGAGTTTGACACACCCCCATAGGCAAAGTGGGGGAGAACAAGGGGTCACAAGACCAGTCAAGCAAAGCACAGCAAGCTCAGGGTGGATCACAACGTCACCACACATTCTGAGCACAAGTTCAAGGGCCACAAGGCCAGTCCACATGCAGGTATATATATATGAAGCTAAACATGCAAGTGCAAGTATATAAAGGTCAAGGTACAAGCAAGGTCAAGAAGTGAGCAAGTGAGGCAAGGTAGGCACAAGACCTAACAAAGTACAGAAGCGCTGATGGTCACAAGGCGCGAGTGCCTTGGTGAAGATATCAGCAGTGTTGGCCTCAGAGGCCACGTAAGCAAGGCGCAGCTGACCGCGCTGCTGCAGCTCACGAGCAAGGAAGTAGCGAAGAGCGATGTGCTTCGTTCTGTGCTCCAGTCTGTGCTCCCGACACAAGGCCAGCATGGCCTTGTTGTCTACGTACAGAACTGGAGGAGAACGAGGCGGCTCTCCTAGGTCAGTCAGCAGGTAGGTGAGCCAGCGTAGCTCCTGTGCAGCCATGGCCCCTGCGTAGATCTCAGCCTCACAGCTGGAGCCGAGAACAGAAGACGAGCGGGTAGACTGCCACGAAACAGAGCCGGAACCAAGGCTGAAGGTGTAACACCGTGACGACCGCTGCGTAGCCTGGTCGTCAGCCCAAGAAGCGTCTGCGTGACCAGTGAGGACCACTAGACTCCGCCCTCCAAGCACAAGCCCCATGCCCGACGTACTGCACAAGTAGCGCAACACCCTCTTCGCTGCAGCCATGTGCTCTGGTCTGTGTCTCCCAGGAGCAACATAGCGTGCCAGAATGCTAAGAGGGTATGCAAGGTCAGGTCGAGTGCAGGTCATCAGGTACATGAGGCAGCCAACAAGCTCTGAGTATGGGCCACTCGACTCTACGGACTCATCCGAAGGCAGAGCTGAGAGCGAGTGGCGAGTAGATAGAGGAGTGGCCTGAGGCGAGGAGTACGTGAAGCCGAAGCGCTGAAGGACCTGCTGCACCATGTGTGACTGAGTCAGGGTAATGGTGCGCTGTGCTCTGTCCCGGGTGATCTGCAAGCCAAGGTAGCTGCGCAGTTCACCTAGGTCTGTGCACGTGTGTCTCTTCTGCAGCTCGGACTTCACGTAGGCGAGTCCAGCAGTGTCAGCTGTGGCAAAGACCAAGTCGTCGACGTACACGAGGATGTAGAACGGCGGCAAAGAAGTGTCGGTGCGCAGAAACAGCGACGGGTCGGCAGTAGAAGGAGCAAAGCCAAGAGCCGCAAGTGTAGTCCTCAGTGTGTCGTGCCACTCACGAGGTGCCTGGCGGAGACCGTAGACTGGCCGCCGGAGGCTCCACTGGGTGCCAGGAGGAAAAGTCCCAGTGAAGCCAGGTGGGCGGCGCAGCCAGATCTCCTCGTGCAGGCTGCCCTGCAAGAAAGCAGTGCTGAAGTCAAGAGAGTGAAGCCCGTAGTCACGGTGAGCGGCTAAGTGCAGCAGTACCCGAAGAGTGGTCATCTTCGGGGTGGGAGAGAAGGTCTGAAAGTAGTCAACTCCCTGCCGCTGACTGAAGCCACGAGCCACGTAACGCGCCTTGAAGACAGGCGGAGAACCCGGCGGCCGCTTCACCCTGAAAATCCACATGCCACTGACGATGTTCGCCCCAGGCGGGGGAACCTCGTCAACGTAGGTGCCTGTGGACTTTCAGGAAGCCATCTCTGCGTCCATGGCTGCCTGCCACTGAGAGGAGTAGGGACCCTCTATCGCCTCCGCGTAAGAGCGCTGACGCGAACTACGACCACTAGTGCGAGCAGCACGGACAGGCGACGCAGGGCGAGACGCAGGCTCACGACGCTCAGCAAGACCTCCAGTAGGACCAGTGTAGGGAGAAGGAGCAGGCAGAGGTGAGGTAGGCTGTAACTGTGACTCGGACTAGACAGGCGGTGGACACTCTAAGGGAGGAGCCGGACTAGCAGAGGGCGGAAGGCCAAGAACCTGCTCAAGGAGCGGAACGAAGTACGGCCGCGGCTGCGCAGCACCCCCAGAACCAGAAGGAACAGCACCAGCACCCCCAACTGCAGCACCAGCTCCAGTAGCACCCCCAACTCCAGCAGCGCCAACTCCAGCACCCTCAGAGGCACCAGCACCAAAAGCACCCTCAGCGCCAACACCCCCAGCAGCTCCAGCTCCAGCCGGACCACCAGAAGACACAGCAGGTCCACCAGCACCAGCACCCCCAGTAGCACCGACGCCCGCAGCACCACCAGCTCCAGTACGAGAAGTACCCGCAGGCCCAGCAGCTCCAGTACTCCCAGTACGAGCACCTCCGGGACCCGCGGCACCAGCACCCTCAGCAGCAGCAGAACCTCCAGCGCCCGCAGCACCTCCAGCTCCAGTAGCACGCCTCCAGCGCCGGGCAAACCACTCTCGCAGCTCCTGTGGAGAGAGTAGCTCCCGCCGGGACGAAGCACCCGAAGAACCGCCAGGCCCAGCACCACCAGGCGCCACACGAGCAGGCCCAGTACCCTCAGACTCCGCACCCCCAGACGCAGCACCCCCAGGCTCAGCACCCCCAGGCGCAGCACCCCCAGGCAAAGTACCCCCAGGCTCAGCACCCCAAGGCTCAGCACCCCCAGGCGAAGTACCCCCAGGCTCAGCACCCCGAGTCGCAGCACCCCCAGACTCAGCACCTCCAGGCTCAGCACCCCCAGACCCCGCACCCGCAGGCTCAGCACCCCTAGCAGCACCAGAGTCAACAGCTACCTCGACAGGCTCGACTGCGTCTACCTGGGACACACCTGAGGGGGCAGGACCCTGAGGGGGGAGGGGGTCTACCGGAGGGGGACCTGGCGTAAGGAAGAGCGGCGGGGGGGGGAGGGACGCAGTGCGGTAGGGGAAGAGACGGTAGTAGGGAACCGACTCGTCAAACGTGACGTCCTGGGAGGACAGAACACAGCACGAGGTGGGGTGGTAGATTTGCCAGCCTGGCGCGTCAGGGGGGAAGCCAAGGAAGACGCAGGGAACAGCACGAGGGGACAGCTTGTCCGCAGACAAGTCGCGGACAAACGCCCGAGATCCCCAGACACGGAACGCAGATGCATCGCCAACCTTCCCCGTCCACAACAAAGCAGGGGAGGTCTCCGGCATCGAAACCCGGGGCTGAAGGTTGATCTGATGCGCCGCGTACCGAACCGCAAACGGCCACAAAATGGGGGGCAGCCGCATGGACCATGGACGTACGAGCGACGTCCATGACCATGCCAATGCGGCGCTCAGCAATCCCATTTTGCTGTGGAGAGTCCGGAAGCGT